ATATCCAGCAGGAGCTGCAGGACCTGAAGCCGCTGAAGCGCCAGCGCAAGATTAACAGGCACAACACACTGAAGGCTTCGCTGGACAAGCTGTGAGTACACGTCAAGGCTTTTAAGGATCCTCTTATCTTACGTTTTTTCGTTTCCAGCCAGCTGAGCACAGACGACGAGGCCGATGCGGACGACGAAGACTATGAGGACTCTGAGGTGGACTGCTATGGACCCGGAAAACTGGGCAATGTCCAGTCCACCCAGGAGTTGGATAGAAGAGATTCTGGTCACTGCACGGATCACTGGCTGCTGATCAATCGCGTAGTCCAGCTGGTTGTGATGCAGGTGGAGCAGCGACCAGCGGGCCGCAAGTTCACCCTTTCACGGTTCTGATGCGTCTTCCCGGCAAATCGATGTAGGCAATCTGGTGCGTCTGCTGGTCAAGGAGGAGCAACTTACGCAGGCACGCAAGCGTGCTGATGAGCTGGAACGTAAGAACTTTGATGGGAGCCAATGTCCCAGATGGGCTCGGAACTGCACCATTTTGATCAGCAAGCTGAAGATGAATGACATGGAGATATCAAAGTAGGAGTTGCTTCAGTCACCTCTTGATTCCAAATACTAATCTCTTCTCATCTAGGGCCATTCTTTTGATGGACAGCAACGAGCAGCTGGCACTCGACATGGTCAAGCAGCTGCTAAAGTTCACGCCCTCGGCGGAGGATGAGCATAGCGAGGATATTTAGTCACTAGCCCGCGCCGATTGCTCCCTTTACGAAGTACCAAAGTGGGTTTTAAATACCACAGGCAACATGATTCCTCCGGATTCCGACTGGCCTCACTAAATCGCCTGGCCGACACCAAGTCCAGTGCCGCCAAGGCCAAGCTGACATGGATCCATGTGCAGCATTGGCGATCAGCTGACATGGAGCCATGTGCAGCATTGACGACTAGCTGACATGGAGCCATGTGCAGCATTGACGATAAGCTGATGACATAAAACGCAGCTTTGACTATCGATTGCTGGCATTGAACCATGTGCAGCTTTGACATCCTAATTTTGGGTTATGGTGAATGCACTCAGGAGCAGCCACAGGATCAGGATGAGCTGGATCAAGTGGTGCCTCTACCAAGGGCGTGATGCAGCTGTTTATGGCCTCCCATGGCAAGCTGGTGACACCCAATAGTGCCCTGCCGCCCGTCTCGCCATTGGGCAACATTATCATCCCAGGGAACTATCAGAATGGAAATCAGCAGCAACATCAACACCCTCAAGCTGAACACGCGCGTCGTTGGCCTTTCGGTCACCCTATCACCGGCAGCCATCGAGCTGGATTCAGTGGGCAGGCCGTTGCGTCGAGAGTATGTGCCCGTCGAGCAGAAGATCCAGCAGGAGCTGCAGGACCTCAAGGCGCTGAAGCGCCTGAGCAAGATTAACAGGCACAACACACTGAAGGCTTCGCTGGACAAGCTCAGCACAGGCGAAGAGGCCGATGCGGACGAGGATGACGATGAGGACTCTGAGGTGGAGCACTGCTATGGACCCGGAAACCTGCGCAATGTCTAGTCCACCCAGGAGTTGGATAGAAATGGGCAAGTGTTAGATAACCTACTAAAGGAAGTTTGATTCTCATTGAATTTTCATTCTTACCAACAGCATCGAGCCGGAGAACGTACACAAGCCCGCTGGCAATCGCAGTCTGAATGCAGCCGCCTCCATAGCCAATGGAGCCAGCAATGGCAGCATTAATGGGATGTGGCCGGCCATGACGCTGGACCAGCTCTGTGATCTGACGCCCAAGGAGGCGTCCTTATCGCGAGGCCTCATTTTCCAGTGGGAAAGCCCGATCAAGAGGAATGCCGGGAACGGGACGGGCCTCTAGCGTGAACAGCGCCAAGGAGAAGAGCCTCGATGACCAGCATTCTAATTACTCGGGCTTCGCGGCCTCCTCGCAGAGCAACAACAACCTCCAGTCCAAGCAGCAGCAGCAGCAGCAGCCGCTCAAGCTGACCGTGGTCACCCGCCAGGAGCAGCGTTACATTGGACCCAACTGCCTCAACATGACACCGGAGCCGCCGCAGCAGAAGCTCATTACCAGAACCATTTCCACTCCGCAGCTAAGCGGCCTCGGCAGTGCCTCTACCAAGGGCGTGATACAGCGGTTTATGGCCTCCCATGGCAAGCTGGTGACACCCAAAAGTCCTCTACCGCCCGTCTCGCCATTGGGCAACATCAGCATCCCAGGGAACTATCAGAATGGAAATCAGCAGCAACAACAACACCAACAGCAACACCCTCAAGCAGAACACGCGCGTCGTTGGCCTTCCTGGAGAACGGCAACTCGGCAACGGGCATTACCACGGTCACCCTATCACCGGCAGCCATTGAGCCGGAATCGGAGGGCAGGCCGTTGTTCCAAGAGTATGTGCCCGTCGAGAAGAATATCCAGCAGGAGCTGCAGGACCTGAAGCCGCTGAAGCGCCAGCGCAAGATTAACAGGCACAACACACTGAAGGCTTCGCTGGACAAGCTGTGAGTACACGTCAAGGCTTTTAAGGATCCTCTTATCTTACGTTTTTTCGTTTCCAGCCAGCTGAGCACAGACGACGAGGCCGATGCGGACGACGAAGACTATGAGGACTCTGAGGTGGACTGCTATGGACCCGGAAAACTGGGCAATGTCCAGTCCACCCAGGAGTTGGATAGAAGAGATTCTGGTCACTGCACGGATCACTGGCTGCTGATCAATCGCGTAGTCCAGCTGGTTGTGATGCAGGTGGAGCAGCGACCAGCGGGCCGCAAGTTCACCCTTTCACGGTTCTGATGCGTCTTCCCGGCAAATCGATGTAGGCAATCTGGTGCGTCTGCTGGTCAAGGAGGAGCAACTTACGCAGGCACGCAAGCGTGCTGATGAGCTGGAACGTAAGAACTTTGATGGGAGCCAATGTCCCAGATGGGCTCGGAACTGCACCATTTTGATCAGCAAGCTGAAGATGAATGACATGGAGATATCAAAGTAGGAGTTGCTTCAGTCACCTCTTGATTCCAAATACTAATCTCTTCTCATCTAGGGCCATTCTTTTGATGGACAGCAACGAGCAGCTGGCACTCGACATGGTCAAGCAGCTGCTAAAGTTCACGCCCTCGGCGGAGGATGAGCATAGCGAGGATATTTAGTCACTAGCCCGCGCCGATTGCTCCCTTTACGAAGTACCAAAGTGGGTTTTAAATACCACAGGCAACATGATTCCTCCGGATTCCGACTGGCCTCACTAAATCGCCTGGCCGACACCAAGTCCAGTGCCGCCAAGGCCAAGCTGACATGGATCCATGTGCAGCATTGGCGATCAGCTGACATGGAGCCATGTGCAGCATTGACGACTAGCTGACATGGAGCCATGTGCAGCATTGACGATAAGCTGATGACATAAAACGCAGCTTTGACTATCGATTGCTGGCATGCAACCATACGCATCTTAGACTATCGATTGCTGGCATTGAACCATGTGCAGCTTTGACATCCTAATTTTGGGTTATGGTGAATGCACTCAGGAGCAGCCACAGGATCAGGATGAGCTGGATCAAGTGGTGCCTCTACCAAGGGCGTGATGCAGCTGTTTATGGCCTCCCATGGCAAGCTGGTGACACCCAATAGTGCCCTGCCGCCCGTCTCGCCATTGGGCAACATTATCATCCCAGGGAACTATCAGAATGGAAATCAGCAGCAACATCAACACCCTCAAGCTGAACACGCGCGTCGTTGGCCTTTCGGTCACCCTATCACCGGCAGCCATCGAGCTGGATTCAGTGGGCAGGCCGTTGCGTCGAGAGTATGTGCCCGTCGAGCAGAAGATCCAGCAGGAGCTGCAGGACCTCAAGGCGCTGAAGCGCCTGAGCAAGATTAACAGGCACAACACACTGAAGGCTTCGCTGGACAAGCTCAGCACAGGCGAAGAGGCCGATGCGGACGAGGATGACGATGAGGACTCTGAGGTGGAGCACTGCTATGGACCCGGAAACCTGCGCAATGTCTAGTCCACCCAGGAGTTGGATAGAAATGGGCAAGTGTTAGATAACCTACTAAAGGAAGTTTGATTCTCATTGAATTTTCATTCTTACCAACAGCATCGAGCCGGAGAACGTACACAAGCCCGCTGGCAATCGCAGTCTGAATGCAGCCGCCTCCATAGCCAATGGAGCCAGCAATGGCAGCATTAATGGGATGTGGCCGGCCATGACGCTGGACCAGCTCTGTGATCTGACGCCCAAGGAGGCGTCCTTATCGCGAGGCCTCATTTTCCAGTGGGAAAACCCGATCAAGAGGAATGCCGAGAACGGGACGGGCCTCTAGCGTGAACAGCGCCAAGGAGAAGAGCCTCGATGACCAGCATTCTAATTACTCGGGCTTCGCGGCCTCCTCGCAGAGCAACAACAACCTCCAGTCCAAGCAGCAGCAGCAGCAGCAGCCGCTCAAGCTGACCGTGGTCACCCGCCAGGAGCAGCGTTACATTGGACACAACTGCCTCAACATGACACCGGAGCCGCCGCAGCAGAAGCTCATTACCAGAACCATTTCCACTCCGCAGCTAAGCGGCCTCGGCAGTGCCTCTACCAAGGGCGTGATACAGCGGTTTATGGCCTCCCATGGCAAGCTGGTGACACCCAAAAGTCCTCTACCGCCCGTCTCGCCATTGGGCAACATCAGCATCCCAGGGAACTATCAGAATGGAAATCAGCAGCAACAGCAACACCCTCAAGCAGAACACGCGCGTCGTTGGCCTTCCTGGAGAACGGCAACTCGGCAACGGGCATTACCACGGTCACCCTATCACCGGCAGCCATTGAGCCGGAATCGGAGGGCAGGCCGTTGTTCCAAGAGTATGTGCCCGTCGAGAAGAAGAACCAGCAGGAGCTGCAGGACCTGAAGCCGCTGAAGCGCCTGAGCAAGACTAACAGGCACAACACACTGAAGGCTTCGCTGGACAAGCTCAGCACAGGCGACGAGGCCGATGCGGACGAGGATGACGATGAGGACTCTGAAGTGGACTGCTATGGACCCGGAGAACTGCGCAATGTCTAGTCCACCCATGAGTTGGATAGAAATGGGCAAGTGTTAGATAAACTACGTAAAGAAGTTTGATTCTCATTGAATTTTCTTTCTTACCAACAGCATCGAGCCGGAGAACGTACACAAGCCCGAATGCAGCTGCCTCCATAGCCAATGGAGCCAGCAATGGCAGCATTAATGGAATGCGTCCGGCCATGTCGATGGACCAGCTCTGTGATCTGACGCCCAAGGAGGCGTCCTTATCGCGAGGCCTCATTGCCCTGTGGGAAAGTCTGATCAAGAAGAATGCCGAGAACGGGACGGTTATTGAGGCGGTCATCAAGGAGGACGAACGGAAATGATAGCAGAAGCTCTTTATCAACGAATTAATTTAAACCATTAAAAAACGTGAAATAAACATACATATTTAATATATTTTTTGTTTTCATTTAAAATTTTTGTAAAAGCGTTGTTCATTGTTGTTATTGTAGGCAAAACCCAGCATTCAATTTGGTTAGTTGCTGTACTGTGGTTGCTGTAGGCGTCTGCACTAAAATTAATCTGCTTTCTGCGGTTTCTGTTCGCCTGGTATTTCAGTTCGAGAATTAGATGAGCAAATTCAAATCTTCGATCGGTACAAATCCATCTAATTCTCGACCTGAAATACCAGGCGAACAGAAACCGCAGAAAGCGGATTAACTTTAGTGCAAAAGCTTCAAATTAGAGTTGTACCTTTAGCTATATTGTAGCAGAGCTTTAAATCTAGCTAGAAAAAAGCTAGTCTGCCAACGTTACATTTGAAGCTTTTTGTAGAGTGACCAGTTTATTTTTCACAAGCTTTTTGTAGTATGCCCAGCTCATGTTTCACCATTTTGGACTCGTTATCGTACAAAAGTATTCTGATTTTGTGCTATCGTTATCGGTGTATATCGATATATGTGAATCAGCTGTTCTGTCAGGAACGGGACTGTAAATTTAAATGGTTAATTTTATATATAAACACGTAGGAAAAGAGTGCCGACCGATGGATTGTTACTTGCGCAACGTAAGTCCACAGGACGTCTGCGTGGACAGCTCGGCAGCGCTCAAACTCGCGCAATTGGATTTCCAGGTCGATGTAACCGCGAACGAGCTTGGCCAGGCCAAGGGCCTTGCGAGGCCGCTGCAGCTCCTTGTAGCGGATCTCGAACTGGGCGTAGAGCAGCCACAGCTTACTGAATGTGAACTGCCGTATTTGTAGATGATGCGCGCTCAGTCATTCTCCCTCTGGCCTTCCTCGAAGCGCCTCCTGTAGAATCTGCTGAGTGGCGTTGGCAAGCGCCTGCTGCTGTTGGGCCTGCGTCTGGGATTGGACCACTTGCTGCTCCTGCTGCTGTTCACTCTGTTGCGGTGGCGCAGGTACGCATCTTGGCCTTCAGCATGCTCGGGTTCTGGGCAGTTGCGTGGACACCGAGCTGGCCGGACGCACCTGGGTGCCACTGTGGGGCAGGATTGGGGCTCCAGGGCATTGCAGAGCCGCTGATGTGAGTTGTTGCTGCTGCTGCAACCGAGCAGTGGCTACCGCCAACTGCTGCTTCTGCTTCTGCTCTTGCTGCTGCTGCTGCTTCGGGGCAAGTGCGTCCAGTTGGGTGCGAGCCTTTGGGGCGTCTGGGTCACATTGCACTGGATAACCTCCGAGGAGACTGCAAAGAGCATTCATAATTAGGACCAGTTGGAAATGATTACTAGTATAGGGTGTTTTACGGTTCTGCTGTGTCTGCAGGGTTTGCGTAGCCGGTTGCCGGATAAACATGCCCGAGGTTCCGTCTGACTGGCTCCTCAGGATGATCTGGTTCGAGCCGAAGGACTGCAGTCCAGCCGTTGCGAGCCCGCTGCAGCTCCTTGTAGCGGATCTCGGACTGGGCGTAGAGCAGCCACAGCTTGCTGAATGTGAACTGCTTGTGCGGTATCAGCTCCAGGCAGGTTTTAAATATCTGGCGCGTGCGCTCCGTATCTTCAGCCTCCAGCTCCTTGTACAGCGCATAATTGATTTACAGATAGATGTAGCGCAGCCAGAAGTTCTTCTCGTTCGACGGATCTGGTCGCGCTCAATTTTTGGCCACCTCCTGTCGTACTGGTACTTGCGCTCGGAAACGATCACGTCCTCGATGTCAGCCCGATCGCCGCACTTCTCTTGTATGGTGTAGGCCTTAAATAGCTTCTGGGTTCGGTCCTTGGAGAGGTGGACCAGCGAATATTTGTAGATGATGCGCGCCCGGTCGGGCTCCTTCTGGCCCTCCTTGAAGCAGGCAAATGCAATGAACCGTCGCTTCTGGATGTACTCGTCGCCGAAGAACACCGCCCGTTTGAAGACACATCGCCCGCTTGAAGACACACCGCGCGCCATGAATGAAGCCGTCGGACTCCTCGAACTTGGCAAACTTTATCCAGTTCTTAACGTCGGGATGCACGTAGACGAAGCGCTCGTAGAATTCACGTACGTCTGGCAGGCCTGCTGCTCCATCCAGCGCTCAAATACCTGCCGCGCCCTGGCCAGGTTCTCCAGCACCTCCATGTATGTGTACTTGTATCAGAATTGGTTGGTAACGGCGCGATACAAGGTTGCGGGTTTGGTTCACCTGTTTGTTCTTCATCTCCATCTCAGCGTACTTTAGCCAGAGCGTCACGGTTCGGTTTTCGTTGTCAGAGCCCGCTCCCAAATGGAGCGCGTCCGCTGGATCTCCTGCTCCTGCTGCTACGCATCCCACTGCGCATGTTTAATCCAGTGGCTGACGACCATGCTGTTCTTGCGCAAATTATCTAAATTTTTGTAGTGTGGCATCTTATTTTTCACAAGCTTTTTGTAGTATGCCCAGCTCATGTTTCACCATTTTAGACTCGTTATCGTACAAAAGTATTCTGATTTTGTGCTATCGTTATCGGTGTATATCGATATATGTGAATCAGCTGTTCTGTCAGGAACGGGACTGTAAATTTAAATGGTTAATTTTATACATAAACACGTAGGAAAAGAGTGCAGACCGATGGATTCTTACTTGCGCAACGTAAGTCCACAGGACGTCTGCGTGGACAGCTCGGCAGCCGGCAGCGCTCAAACTCGCGCAATTGGATTTCCAGGTCGATGTAACCGCGAACGAGCTTGGCCAGGCCAAGGGCCTTGCGAGCCCGCTGCAGCTCCTTGTAGCGGATCTCGAACTGGGCGTAGAACAGTCACAGCTTGCTGAATGTGACCTGCCGTATTTGTAGATGATGCGCGCTGGGTCGTTCTTCTTCTGGCCCTCCTCGAAGCGCCTCAGTGCCTTCTCCGTCTGGCAGGGCGTCGCCGGTGGAACTGCTGGCCTCCGCGGATGCACTCACATTGGCTAGTGTTGAGGATTTCGACGTCGCGCTTCTGTCCAATGGGCACAAGGGCGTCTGCAATTGCTGCTGGATCAGTAGGTTATGTAGTTGCTGCTGCCGTTGCTGGTGGGAGGTGATGAAGGTGTTTAGGACCACCTGTAGGATCTGCTAAGTGGTGTTGGCAAGCGCCTGCTGCTGTTGAGCCTGCGTTTAGAATTGGACCACTTGCTGCTACTGCTGCTGTTCCCTCTGTTGCTGCTGAGCCTGCGCCACCGCCTGCTGTTGGTGGGCGGTCACTTGCTGCTGCTGCTGCTGCTGTTGTAATGATCCAAAGGTAATCTGTTAGCTCGATGATCTGGCCCAAGGGGTCTCAGATTACTCACTTGTTCGGTGCTCCAGGGCATTGCAGAGCCGCTGATGTGAGTTGTTGCTGCTGCTGCAACCGAGCAGTGGCTACCGCCAACTGCTGCTTCTGCTTCTGCTCTTGCTGCTGCTGCTGCTTCGGGGCAAGTGCGTCCAGTTGGGTGCGAGCCTTTGGGGCGTCTGGGTCACATTGCACTGGATAACATCCGAGGAGACTGCAAAGAGCATTCATAATTAGGACCAGTTGGAAATGATTACTAGTATAGCGTGTCTTACGGTTCTGCTGTGTCTGCAGGGTTTGCGTAGCCGGTTGCCGGATAAACATGCACGAGGTTCCGCCTGGCTGGCCCCTCAGGATGATCTGGTTCGAGCCGAAGGACTGCAGTCCTGCCGTATTTGTAGATGATGCGGGCTCGGTCGTTCTCCTTCTGGTCCTCCTCGAAGCGCCTCAGTGGCTTCCCCGTCTGGCAGGGCTTCGCCGGTGGAACTGCTGGCCTCCGCGGATGCACTCACATTGGCTAGTGTTGAGGATTTCGACGTCGCGCTTCTGTCCAATGGGCACAAGGGTGTCCGTCTTCGAAAGCGTCTCCTTGGTGGGCGTGCTGGCACTACTGCCGCCTATGGCACTGGAGGTGGCTAGTCCGGCTGACGTGGTGGTCGAAGACACCGTAAAGGCCACGCTGTTCAGTTGCAGCTGACCCGCGTTCTGCTGCTCTGGAGTCGTTCCGCCTGAAACAACAATCTGCTGGATGATGTTCTGTTGTTGCTCCCGCTGCTGTTGCTGCTGTGCCTGGGCCTGCGCCTGCACCAGCTGCTGCAGTTGCTGCTGGATCAGTTGGTTATGTAGTTGCTGCTGCCGTTGCTGGTGGGAGGTGATGAAGGTGTTTGGGGCCACCTGTAGGATCTGCCGAGTGGCGTTGGCACTTGCTGCTGCTGTTGGGCCTGAGCTGCCACCTGCTGCTGCATCTGGAGGGCAGCGATCTGCTGCTGGAACATTTGCTGCTGCAGATACTGCTCCTTCTGAATCAACTGCAATTGCTGCTGCTGTTGTTGCTGCTGTTTGTCCACTCCCGCTGTGGGTGCGTAATGGGAGTGCCCGTCGTGCTCATCACAACCATTCTGTAATGATACATAGGTAATCAGTTAGCTCGATGATCTGGCCCAAGGTGTCTCAGATTAATTACTTGTTGCCCGCCGAGTTAACCACTTGCTGGAGATTTGCCGTCGCCTGCTGTTGCTGCTGCACGGTGGCCATGTGACCCACCACCTTGTTCTGACCCGCCAACTGGCCATTCCCCGTCTTCAGGGTGGACAAGGCAGGTCGCGCCGGCTCCTGCTTCGTACGCATCTTGCCATTTAGCAAGGTCGGGTTCTGGGCAGTTGCGTGGAACTCCAGAAACTTCTGGTACAGCACCCGGCAGCGCTCGAACTCGCGCGGACACATGCCGATCGTCAGGCCAAGGGCCTTCAGCTTCTTGTAGCGGATCTCAAACTAGGCGTAGAGCAGCCACAGCTTGCTGAATGTGAACTGCTTGTGCGGTATCTGCTCCAGGCAGGTTTTATATATCTGGCGCGTGTGCTCCGCTTCTTCAGCCTCCAGCTCCAGATGAAGCGCCGCCAGAAGTTCTTCTCGTTCGACGGCGGCACATTCAAAATGGTCCGCTCGTACGTCTCGAGGATCTGGTCGCGCTGGCCCTCCGCTTCGATGAGGTGCAGGTAGTCGATTTTCGGCCACCTCCTGCTCGTACTGGTACTTGCGCTCGGAAACGATCACGTCCTTGACGCCAGCCCCATCGCCGTACTTCTCGTGTGTGCTGTAGGCCTGAAATAGCTCCGCGGTTCGGGCAGGTGGGGAGGTCTTTTGCTTTGGCGGCGGCGGCAGGATCTCCAAGTCGCGTTCCTTGGCCTCACAGAGCAGCTGGACCGCCGTTATCTGCACCTCCTCCGGTGCCTTGTTCTTCATCTAATAAAAGCGAAACAAACGATATGATGAAATAGGACTTCATTTCAAGCTGCCCGCCCGCTCCATCCTCCACACTCACCTTGGCCATCTTTTGGGGCCGCACCACAGCTTATGTATTTCCTTGCCTACTCAATAAATTACAAAAAAGAAACTATAATTGAAATTTGCAGCTGAATTTATCGATATACAATTCTTTGTAGTGTCACCAGCTCATCTACACTCGTTTTATACTACATTATGACCATCCACTCTTTGTATATCGAAGTGTGACCAGATCATTTTCCACAAATTGTATCGGTGTATATCGGTATCAGAAAATCAGCTGTTCTTCCGTCAGGAACGGGACCGTAATATTTAATGTTAGTTAATTTCTTATATTAAAACGTAAGAAACGAGTGCCGACCGATGGATTCTAACTTGCGCAACGTAAGTCCCAAACGATTCGAGCACCCGCAGTGTCACTCATTAGCTATTCCTCTCCAGTTCAAGGATTTTCTCACATTATACAACAAAGTGACTGAAATGTGCTTCAGCCGGTGCGTCGATAATCTCAACGACCGCAACCTGGCCAGCCATGAGGTAAGTAGCCCTGTCCAAGTTTGGCACTCGCTCTGAGTATTTATACAATGCTCCACCGCTAGGACGTCTGCGTGGACAGATGCGTTACAAAGTTCGCCCGCTTCAACCAGAATATGATGAACTTCTATGTGGAGGTGCAGACAACCATAAATGCCAAGCGCATGGAGGAAGTAGAGGAGAAAGCCAGGGTAGCCGCACAGCAGCAGAAGGAAGAGCGCCACAAGGAGGAGCAGAGGCTGAAGGAATTGGCCGCCACCGCGGTGCTGACACCTGTTTCGCCGACTGCCCCAGGCAACCTGTCCATTTAGCAGCAGGCAACGGAGTGGTACGCCACGCCGCAACTGCTGTTCTCGATCCTCGATAGCTAAACTCCACTGTCCTATACAAACATCTCCGTTTCCACGATTCAAACTTCACGGGCAGCCATTGCATTTAAAACAACCCGTAGTTCACAGAATGCCGCGCATATGCCTCCTTGCGCTCATCGGCCTTCCAGGGGCCGGCAAGTCTACACTATGCGCCTGGCTGCTCGGTCAGGAGCCTGCCCTGCCAGGTCGCCACCTTGTCCACCTATGCTACGACGACTTCCTTGACGTTGGACCCACTTCCTCCGAGCTGCCGTACAAGGAGCAGCGTGCGCTTATCTTTAAACTTCTAAAACAAATTGTTGCTGCTATTCGGAAAGGCGCCGCTTGGCCTAGTCAAGTCCGGCGCACAACTGGCGGCACCACCGAGTCCAGTGGAGACTATCTTATCCTGTGCGACGACAACTTCTACTACCGCAGCATGCGCTACAAGCTGCACCAGCTGAGCCGCGATGAGGGATGCGTCTTTGGCCAGATTTACATCGCCAGTTCCCTGGACTTTTGCCTGCAAGCTAACGCGAGGCGGAGCGGCGACGGTCGCATACCCGATGATGTGGTGCGAGAAATGCACGATAGGATGGAGGCGCCGGGATCGGAGGCCTGGGAAAGTAACAGCCTGACAGTGACCAACGCAGATCCCGAAGTCGTGGGCTGTGTGATACTTAACTTTTTAAATTCCCTTAATGTCAAGCCGGTTGTAGAACAGTCATCAAAAACTGGGCAGCATCCGCAGCAGGTACAATCCTTGGTGCACAGTCTGGATCTGTTGTTGCGGGGGCGCATTAAGACACTTCTGCAAGGACTAACTCAGTCGGCGGACAAGCGGACGGTGAGCGGGAGACTAAACGAGGAACGGAAGCGGATACTGGAACGATTTCGGAGAAATGCGGGCGGGGGCCAGCAGGCGGACCTAAACTACTACGTAGAATTGTTAAACTAGAGTAAGACTTAAATATAAATTTGTTACTTGACCGGACGCAACGTTGTGTTTGAGTTAAAACTAGATTTATTTAGGTCAAAAAAATAGAGGGGATCGGTTCAGACCACCTTCACCTGACTGATGTCGCGCTTTTCAATCATGCGCATCTGTTTCTTCTTCATGCGCTTGAGCTTAGCGGGATTCTTGATTACCTGGACAACCTCCGAACGTCGCTCGTTCGCCAGACGGCGTTCGGCATTTTCAACGCGACGCTGGTGCTTCTGCACGGCCGCCTCCTTGCGCTGCACCTTGATCTCCTTCGACTTCTCCTTGATGTAGCGCAACTCATCGCGCAAAGCGGTCTTTTTCTCGAACGACAGCCGGTTGACCGTTTTCTTTATCTTGCTAAACCTGACAGGACATAAGGCGGATGAGCTGGCTTTCGGAGGCGGAATCGTAAAGTTAGTACTCACTTCTGTTTTGGCGTCTTCCAGGGCCGGTTGGACTTGGGTTGGCCACGTGGAATAGCTGCCTCGGGCTTCGCCGGCTTCTTGTCCTTTTTCGTCATCTTTGGGGGCTGTGTCTCGACGACGGCTTCACTCATTTTATGGGAAAAAGGTCGGGTCAAAATGCAAAACAATTCAAAACGACAACAAATGCACGTGCTGGTTGGCCGCCTATCGATAACACGAAACATATGTTGCGCAGGGCTGCATTTAATCACAATCCTATAGGTCAGAGTGGCCAGGCCAGTAGAATTCAAACGCCATTTGGTATTTTAGATTTATAAAAATACGTTTGTTAGAAGCTTTATCTAATAATTGTTTTTATACCCTTGCAGGGTTTTATAATTTCAGTCAGAAGCTTGAAACACAGTGAAGAAATCATTTCCGTTTGGGTTACATCGTTAAAATTGACAAATTTTGACAAAAAATTGAATTTTTAAAATTTGAAAAGTCAGTGCAGATAAGCAGAACCTTAAAAACTAGCACAGAATTGCTTTCCGATTTAAAATTAATGCATTTTTGGCTAAGTTATTATTAATTGCACATTTTGGCATCCCGAAGTTAGCTTCGTACCTTCCTGCCGGTCTGGTCTAATTGTTCATTATTGTCTCTAATTATTGCTTTAATTGGGGATCTTCTGAAGTTCTGAAAAATATTCCATATTCATGGCCATAAAAAGAGTGCCTTATTTTAATAATTTCTCTAGTTTTAATTTGAATGATTTAGCTTTAACAAAATAAATACTTGCATTTCGCAGGAGTTAGAATCGATTAAACTTTTGCCGGAGAGGAAACAATTTAGTCCAAGAGGATGTAAAAGGCCATCACGATGCAGCTGGCAGACACTAATGGTGATAAGCGCTCACCAATCCTGGCCATTTTCCAAAATAAGCCCATCCACCTGCGGATTAGAAAAGTAATTGGCCCTAAAGAAAGATGTGGAGGGATGATTATCACCTACCCGATCTTGTGGCGAGCCATAATGTTGGGAAAAATGGAACGGATGTAAGTGCACGTACAGATCATCAGCAGGATGACCACCAGCAGGCTCTGGAAGTGGAAAAGGGCACTCTGAGGAGAAAAAAGAGATCTGTAAGGTTTCTACTACACTCCCAGCACTTAGACGTATTTATACCATCACTACTTGCTGAAGCAAACAACATTCGAAGTGTGATTTTGGACGCCAGTTTGGCAAGCTTTGAAATAACTACTAGGGTTGACTATGTCTAAGCCTGTGAAATGGTTTCAAAATCGGAACGGAGCCAGCGAATGAATGATTCGCTTTTGTAACGAGGAATTAAATTCCAGGACTTCATCAAGGACATGCTACCGATTTGTATTGCCTAAAATTCTTTTTTTGCATTATGTTATCTAGTATTTCATTGAATACAAACCCCTTTGTTGCTTAACAAGATGAATAAAAATATAGATAAAGAAGAATTTTTCAATTTTTTGCGGGCTTTTTGAAATCATTTTAGTATTCTTTAGTATCATTTTATTAACTTTTGCTGGCCACACTAGAGCGGAGCGCCGCCAATGCATTTCAACATTCAGCGAAATTAAACTTTAATTTATATGTTATATTCATTCGGCAAGGCTGCTCGCCGGACGCATGTGGTAAACCATAATGGGAAGGCGCACCACCTTGGAAGAGCGCGAGTTCGTGATTTCCCTGCACAGAGCAGGCTACAAGGACCGGCTTATCACCGAGGAAACCTCCATTCACAGATCCACAGTTCGCAAAATCATTAAACGCTTCATCGTGGAGAATCGATTGGTGGACAAAAAGGGCAAGCAGGCACCAAACAAGATCTTCACTGCGCAGGAGGAGCTGCAGATCATCAACATGTTCTATGCGCAGCCCACTCTGTCCGCACCAAAGCTCGCCGAGGCAGTGGCCAAGGAGTTTGGAAAGCCATGCTGTCCGGAGGTGCTGCGCCGTCTACTCCGCGCCAATAACATAAGCGGCCGCATGGCCTGGTGCCGACGAACCTTGGGCCAAGGAAACATACAGAGTCGCCTTCAGTTCGCAACAGAATTTCTGGACCAAGATACGGCCTTCTGGGAAAGCGTCATGTTCGTTGGCACGGCCAAGTTTCATTTAATAGCCTCGGAGAAAACGTCATATGTGCAGAGCAAGTGGAACAATGAGAGGCAACCGTGTGGCGGAGGCGGGATCTTCGTCTGGGCTTGCTTCTCGTCGGCCGGAGTGGGAAAAATTGTCTTCAAGGAAACAAAGATAAGCAGCGCTGTATTATTCTCTATCCTAACGGAAAACTTACTCCAGAGTGCCGAAGATCTTGAAATGGGTAAACGGTTCCATTACTATAGCGAGAACGACGCGGCCCACAAGTCACCCCTCGTCCATTGTTGGGTGGCCGAGAACTGTCCGGGGCAATTCGTGGCACAACCGGCCCAGAGTCCGGATCTGAATGGTATCGAGAACCTTTGGCCCATGCTGGACCAGGGCATTCGCGAGCGCGGGTATAAGATAGACAATTTAATGGATTTGAAGAATGCCATCACTTACGAGTGGCACCAAATAACGCCGGACATAACCCGGACCCTCGTCCATTCCATGCCTCACCGACTGCAAGAAATCGTGGCTAACCAAGGAGGTCATACCAGGTATTAGCTTACTTACACTGACCAGTATAGACACCTGGCTCGAGATATAAGTTTTAAGCAAACTTACGACTGTTGTAATGAAGATACTGATACTGAAAATGAAGTGATACGTTTTGCACAGAATTATGCAAATATGCCAATATAAAATATTTTTTATTAAAGTTGTTGTACTGAAGTTGATGTTATGCAGGGAGTCAATGCAAACATTGTTATACCAAGGCTGTTCTACAAAGGGTTATCTTTATAAAGATACGATTAAGATTAAGAAATTGAAATATTAATAAAAGTAATACACTTTTATCCATTTTTTTTCTTCTCGTCCGTTCTGCTGCATGACTGATCGGTAATCCTTGAGTTTGAAAGTTCCCACGCCTTTAGCTTTCATCCCTAAGTTTTCCCCTGGCTCAAGGAAATACTTAAATAACCGGTTTTAAGGGCTATGAAAGCTACCTTTGTCAGACGGACAGGAAATACGAGGAAGTATTCCCCCTGCGAAGTGTTTTTTTTTTTAAATTTGTAAAAATACATACACAGTATAATATATAACATGAATAACGCACAAAATTTATCCTTTAAAGAACTATGTATTTCGTTTTTAACATGATGAACAACAAAGAAGCCCATTTGTGTAACCAATAAAGTTGGTTAATGTGCGCAATTGCGATTACCTCCTAAGACTACGGGAGCCAACAAATTTATAAATTAAAAAAAATATCGTGGTAAGTTTAGCCAACAAGAGATAATGATGAAGTCAGTTGTCTCTTGGTGCCGCGGCACTTTGGTTAATAAATCTAGACCTGCCAGTATCGCTAGGGAATCGGAATCTTTGGTTTGGGCATGGAAATGGGCTTGGCCGTGGCCAGCTTGTCGGTTGAAAAACAAAAATTTTATTTCACTTAACAATTTACCAATTGCGAGTACGACGACCCACCAACTGAGCGGACTGGACCCGCTAGCAGACAACGCCGATTTCCAGGCGACTCAGCCCTTTAATTTACATATTTACATTGATTAACGAAGGGGGAACCCTTGGGTTAGGTGGCCTCTAGTCGAATTTATAGCGACTCACTGACGATCCGGAGGCTCCACCAGACCCTGCCGCTTGTGCAGATCAATGTTGTAATGGTAGAAGAAGGACTTGCCATACTCGAAGGACGAAATCATGATAGCACACGCGGGCGCTACCTTGAAGAGACGCGGTCCAAGTCCAGAGAAAATAGCGGGAACTCCGCCCAGACGGTAAATGCTGGCCAGGCGCGCTGCCACCGACTTAGTGGCCACCTGCTTAGGTGGATTATCTGCCGTAATGCAAACCGAACCATTGTCAATGTTTGTGTGGGAACTCGCGGCAACGATCTGGGGCCTACCTGAGAATATGAACTTCTCGCCGAACTCGATCTGCTCGTGCGTTTTCACCACATCAAACGGCGTGGTTATAGTGGCGGCCACCTAGAGCATACGCTTTAGTTGGTATATATTGCGCATATCTAGCTCAAGGGATGAACTTACCGATCCCGATATGGCTCCAGCCGCAAAGCTGAAACCAAACGTAGGCTCCACCACATTAAAGGTGCTCTTGAGGTACTCGTAGCAGGTCCAGTATATGCCCGAAAAGGGCACGTCGCGTAGTATCGTCGGCGGCAGGCCGCGCCACAGGCCCAGCACACCCTGCGACTGCACCACCTGGCGTATGGTGCCGAACATCTCGGCGTGGGTCATCCGCTGCGACTGCATCTTGGTGCGAATGAGTTCTACGGGACTGACACAGGTGACTGCCAGAATGCGGGCCGTTACACCTGCCAGCAGGGGCACCAGCATTGGTATCGGTAGTGGAATGTCACGGCCATGGTCCGTTATTGTTGGTCTTACGTTCCAGCGATCCAGGTACTTGTAGTGGATGTCTGTGAAGCGGGCCTTAAACTGCTCGTAAGCAACGAAGTATATGATCGTCGAGGGTAGGGCTGAGATGAGCGTGGGGCTAAGGCCCGACCACAACGAGCCGATGCCCTCGGTGCGGCTAATCTTGATGAATGCATCCTGCATATAGCGATGGTGGACGATACTAGGCATTAGGATTACTCTTGATTAGACAACTATCTGATACTCACAATGGTGCCAGAAAAGCGGGGAGGCGGCTTAGAGGCTGGGGGACTGGGCGTGTCCGGGCCGCAGGGGCAAATATGGTCCATGAGGCCGTTGCAGTAGAGGAAACACTTCTTTGAAAGCACAGCCTGTTGCTGGGCCTGCAGACGGGTCTTGATAACATCCAAGGGGGTCACTGCAACCAGAAAGCAGCACTTGAGTAAAACAGAAAGATAAAGATCTGGGAGCCACAGGTCAACTCACTGAAGCAGGCGGTCACCATGGCGCCGCTGCAAGCGGACGCCACTTGCTGCAAGGGCCTGATCCGGAACCGGGGGTCCGTCATCGTGGCCTTCGATTGGCTCTGGCTTGGGGTCGCTGCCGCTGCCGCCGCCACAGCAGCAAGATGCGTACAGGGTCCCCGTGTGGCCATATCTCCCGCTGCTGCCCTTGCTGCTGTTGTTGTTGTTGTTGTAGAAGCACAAGTTTCTTCGCTAGGTGTTTCGTCGGTAGGCTGGCGGTGATTGGATGGATGAGTGAGAGATGAGTGGGCGTGATATGACAGTAGTTAGAGGCACACAACACAATCTTCAGTTAGGCAAGCCACTTGGTCATTGTGAAATAGTTTTCCAGGTCCAAAATAAAACACCTTGTCCGTCCCCTATGTCCCATTTCCACTATGTTCCCCGAAATATCTACGGAATGCGGCCTATGACCAGCCGATCAGCTGTTGCCATGTGACGGGCCTCTAGTCATGACACAAACCTCGATAGGCTGTATCGATATTTTCAAGTGTATCGAAATGTAATCACGGATTTGGCAAGAAGCAGACAAAAATAAACATTCGAATCTTGATCAGATAAAACCGTAAGGGATATATGTATGTGCATTTCGATGGAATTAAGATTAAAACTATTCATGCACACACATTGATCAAATATCTTACATTATACAGAACTGGATCCCGCTCAATTTACCTGTTTCCTGGAGATCCATGTTATAGTGAAAGAAGAACGACTTGCTATACTCGAAGGTTGAGATCATTATGGCACAGGCGGGGACCACGCGGAGCATACGCGGCATGACCCCAACATAGAGTCCTCGGACGCCCTGCCGCCGGTAGATTTGTCCCAGGCGGGAGAACACCGAAGATTTGCCTAGAGTATTGGGACTATGTCGTGGCCTGTCCTTGAGCGCAGAGCCAGTGCCAATACCACCAGTGCTCTTGGTGCCCATCTTCTCGCAGAGCACGCTCTGGCCCAGCTCGATCTGGGTGTGGGTAGTGACCAGATCAAAGGGCATGGTCACTAAAGTGGCCACCTGAATGAGAAAAATAATTAGTTGATTTCTGATTTCCATGTGCTTAGGTCTCTGTGCAGCGGAATTGCGCACCGCTCACCACCCACCGCTCCGGAAACGGCGCCCGCAAGGAAGCTGAAGAGGAATGAGGGCTCCCTTTCGGAGAAGGCACGCTTCATCGCCTCATAGGCTGCCCAGTAAGTGCCGGAGAAGGGAGCGTCCCGCATCACAGTGGGCGGCCAACCACGCCAGAGCCCCATCACGCCGTGCTGCCGAATGAGCGTGCGCAGCACCTGCCACAGCTCCGAGTAGGTCATGTATTCCGACTGCATCTTGATGCGCACCATCTCAATGGGCGTGATGGCAGTGACTACCAGGGTTCGCGAACAGATGCCCGAGGCCATCGGTACGTAGTAGGGGACGACTGAAGATACGGATGTCGGAGCGTTTACATTTCTTGGGCGCTTCGGGGCGTCCAAGGGATCCCCGCCGAAAGCTCCAGGCTCTGATTCCCTGTACGGAGCGTCGTCTATATTCAAGTTGCTGGCGCTCATGCGCGTTAACAGGTATAAATGGGACAGAGAGTTCATGAGATACTCGTACGTCAGAAAGTAGATGATCGTGGAGGGCAGTGCCGAGACGAGAGTGGGACTGAGGCCGGCCCATAGACCACCCAGGCCACTACTGCAAAGGATCTTGACAAAAGCGTCCTGCGCCGGAAGGAAAGTGAGCCCATGAACCCACAGAGAGATCTAGTCATACCCGAAACGAGCACTTACCATGGAGCCGCGTGGCGGACGCAAATTGTGGGGAATTCGACCCGACTTCGGATAACACAGGTCACTAGAACGGCACACATGCGTCATCAGGCCGTTGTGGAAGACGTAGCAGAGTTTAGAGACCGTAGGTCTCTGGCGGATAGCATGCTGCGTCTGCACCCGCGTCTTCACCACCTCAAGCGGGGTCACTGAGGGAATAGAATGTGGTGTGGTATGAGGTGCTGGGAGGGATTAACGTTCAGCTCTCCCAAAGTACTCACCAACAAAGGTGGTAAGGAGGCCACCGAGGAGCGCAGACACGACCTGCTGTATCGGTTTAATGCGGTATCGGGGATCTGCTTTCAGGATCATAATGGCCAGCTCCACGGGGTCGTCCCCATCAGTGGGGGCTCCATCTCCGTGCTTCGGTGGCATTTTCCTATTCACTGTCGGCAGTTGATTTGCAGATAGACGGCGGCACCTGCTGTCCTCAAAGAAGACATCCCTGGACACGCAGCTTAATTTGGTAAGTATACAATATATATATGTATATCTCTGAGCCAAAGTACAAGTTTAGAGACATCTAGCTTTCTAAACGATTTTGACTGAAGCGTCAAAAGCACAATTGTCGTTCCCACAAAAATCGAAATATATTTTAAGGCACATGAACATCATTTTATTGAGTACATCCAAGGTATTTGCGATTATTCGCTTTGTTTTGGCAACCAAGCGGGCTTTAGGTTCATTCAAATTTATCCAAAATAGGTCTTATCTCGTTATTTAAGCGCAGAACAATGGGAATAAACTCTTCTTTTGGGGAGGTTGAGCCCAAATTAGTGATTAAAATCCATTCCATGGGATAAGTCGCGATTTATTTGTTGATGGGAGGAAAGGAAAACCAATGCGGGGACAACTACGACAAGATTGATTACGTTTAATGCGAAAATTATAAATATGAATTAAATTAATCGAATTTAATAATAATTTGAATTACATTTAAGTTAATTATGAGTAGTAAGTCAGTAACATAGTTTAGCTTTACGTCGGAACCAAAAAAAAAATTAGATAGGATAGTCCAATGTGTATGTGTGTATATGATGAACTCCGATTCCGGTAGCCTCCTCCTCCTGGGCGGGATGATGGTGGTGACGTCTCTCACTTGTGCGCAATGGGAATCAGCGTTTCGCCAGCGGTCAGCGCTGGCAGTGGTGCATCCACGGTAAGGACACCATCCTTGCTGAGGGACGAGCGGATGGACTCGGGATTGACGCCCTTTGGCAGCAGGAACTCCCGGTTGTACTCCCTGTACACGCTCTTTGTGTCCGACTTCTCCTCGTGCTTGGCATGCACCTAAATCAGAAGCGAAAGATTTTGTTATTTGAACTTTTAGCTGCGATATTAGGTCGGGGTCTCTCTTACCAATAGCTTCTGGTCAACGGTCTTCACCACAATCTCCTCGGGGGCATACTGGCTAACGTCGAAGCGCAGCTTCAGCACTTTATTGTCGCCCTCATCCTGCAATTAGAGAAGGTTAGAAGGTTTTTGTTTTAGGGTTCTTACTGGGCTACAAACCTGTATCAAGGGAGAGCTGATGTCGGAGACGTAGTTCTGTTGCTTGGGGATTCGGGATGGCAGGGCCGAGTTTGTTGTTGAGCTGAAAAAGAGGTCAAGCAAAAGATTAGAGCCTGGTATATCCAAACGGAAGTATCAAAAACAGATAGAAGTGTTGATATATTAAAATCAAAAGTGTTTGGAGCAACCAGAACCTATTTGAGGAGTTTGTGGTGGTAGTGGTGGTGGTGCTACTAGTCGTAGTTCTTGTGGTGCGAAAGGTTTTGTGCAGTGTGCGTGTAAAGGCCTCCATTCTGCTGCTTCTCTAGGATGTGACTGATCTCGCCCCGTCGAGCCCAACTCAATGGAAGCCCAGTCCCGGTCTGGGATTGTGTCTATAAATAAATCCGACTTCCGCTTCTAACTCGAAGCAATGTTTACGGCTCTCTGAAGGTATCAGGGAGCAGCTGCCACCCCAACATCTGTACCATCACGTGTCGTGTGTTTAATGTATGTATATTTTCCATTAGGGAAACAATGTTGTCCGACAGCCCCGGCAAATGGGAATGAGCGCAACCACTTGAGACTTTGGCAGCAAACGAATTCTTCCTCATTCGCTCTGAAAAGGTGGCTATATGGTTACAGCAACTGGATTCGTATTGGAATGTATGTATATTTTCTAATTTAATATAACTGCCTGGAAGAAATTAGAGGTGGCTACCCTTAGTAGCTACACGATTCACATATGTGTTGTACATTTTTGTACAGGGGAACCGATCTGGTCCCGACACTAAATATATAAATAAACCCAAACGTTTGTGTGCGTCTGGTCGGTTTTAAAAATGGATTTGCGTTCCTTGAAGTGGCACCCTCTACGTGACTGCTCAGCCATCCATCCATCAGATCATCTCTTATTCCTACAGCTGTCATTTGGCTATGGAAAGAGGATGGACAAATCGGAGGAACTTTAGAAATAATGCCGTCGAATCAATCAGCATTGTGTTACTTTAAATTCATAATTTCATGTCTACTTATATTATAGGGTATTATAATTTAAGTCAGCAACTCGTAACGCTGTAAATCATATTTATTCTTGATCAACATCAACAGGCAAATCTTTCTAGCTATCTCCGGCATAAAAAAAAAAATTTTAGAAATTTTCGATTTTTTTCAAAAAAGGAAAGGGGTTACATCGTTTAAAATTGTCATAAATTTCAATTTTTGTTAATTTTAAATTAAGTATGCAGATTTATTAAGCTAATAAAAACTAACATAGGAGCGCTTTCCGATTTAATATTAATTCATTTTTGTCATAGTTATGAGATTTTAAAACTTTGATTTGTCGAAAATATTGTCATATACAAATCTTGTTAAATGTTGATTTCAATTCCATTCTATAATTAATTTGCAAACTGCAATACATGAACTTGGGGGTCCCGAAATTAGCCTTTCTTTTTGTTTTTAAGTTCAATGTGTATTAAGTTTTAGTAAATTTATTTTTAATAAAGCAAAAATATTTAAATTATGCAAGTGTGTATTGTTTTTTGTGGTTGTGGTTGGTTCTATGCTCTTTTTTGTTTCAAGTGGGGTAATTATGTGCTGGGATTGCAATTAAAAGAATATTAAATGATTAACTACAATAATAAAACAACTCGAATTAGATACAAGAACCGAAAATGAGGGCAAAAGTAAGGTGGAATAGTTTGGTGGAAAAGGGGGTGCAGGGGATACGAACAGAAACTCAAATTTTTAGTTGTTATACTTTCTACGTTTTGGTACCTGGTCGTTGTTGTTGTTTTTTTAGTAGAGCTTTGTTTTTTTTAGATAGGAGAAAGGAGATTATTAAAATATTGTAATAATTGCCGTGGTTTAAAGTATTCCAAGCAGCAGGAAAAGAGAATAGAGAAAAATAGAGGAGAAAGAGAGAAAGAGTATTAAGTTAGGTAAAAAGTACATTCAAATACAAAGGCTTATATATATACATGTACATATACATATATACAGGGGGTTACATAAATGGGGCAGAAATGCAGCGGCTTCGCCATGACGTTCTTTCCAGCACTTCCACGCTCCACGCACACCAGCGGAGTCCGGAAAGCGATAAATTTGATTGACCATTAAACTGCGCACCTGTGTGTGTGTCCACGGCGCCAATATATGTACATATGTATTAAGATGTAGGTGCATGTGTATACGTGCGTGCGACGAGAGTCTTCAAAGATAACAGGGGCGCTTCTTATCAATCGAAACGTGAACGTGCAATGGGCCTTTGTGGGCGACCTTGCTGCCGCCCAGCCGCGAGCTGGCAGAGGCACACGCTATTGACTAATACCAATCACCGTTAGTCCGGCAAAAGTGTTTAGGCGAAAGAGTGGGAGAGAAAGCACCTGCTCTCTCTCCGCCTCCCCGTGTGTTGGGGCTGGCAAACACACAAAAACACACACACATGCACACATGTCTGACTCTATCTCTCTGGCATCTGATGACGATGATGTCATGCATATTTTTTCGTTATTGAAAAGCAGAACGCAGGGAAACTGAAGAAGAAACGAAAATAAACACACACACACACACACACACTCAGGCACACGAAAAAGTTAAAAACAACAACAGCGAGGCGCAAACAAAATTGTGCTCTTTGTTGTTAATTTTTGTGTTTGCCAAACTGGCGAATTGAATTATCGATTACCACCAGCGATTACTACGATCGCCGCTTTGTTTGTCATAGAAATTTTGGGAGGAGAATAGCAATGGCTAAAAACTGGCATGATATCATCTTTATTTGTTCGCTGGAATAATCAGCATCCAGCCACGAATAATGGCAACTAAATTGCGAAAGCTTTTTCGCACTAACACACACGTACACACACACAAGTGCCTAGTGCTATTTGCATGATAAATAGATATTTGCTTAGCGTACTTATTTGTTTAAACAATGCGCACACAGAGCCACCCACGCGCAAGGCCGATCAATGGGGCTATAAATCCGGCAGATCGATTAAATTGCCAGTATTTAATACACACCGAGTCAAAATTCAAAGGAAATAAAAACAAATTTGAAATGGGAAGAAAATGTCAGTAGGTGCGTGAGTTCAAAGTTTGAAAACTATTCATTTTATTCGAAATATATTGGAATCTATTGAATTTATCTACGAAGCTTTAATTCCTTTCTATTGCTATATAGAAAACGAAATCCATGTTAATTTATATTCCGTCAGAAAGCGAAAATTCTAGTAGTAGTAGTTCCAAAATTAAAAATGTTTCTTTTTTCTAAGATACTTTCGAGGAAGAATACCAAAGTAATTACATTTTTTTATTTGTTTCATTTATATGAAAGTAAAGACCCGAATATAGTTTAATTTTCTACAAAATCTGCATAATAATTAAATTGCCTTTTTATGCCGTTTGATCTTAATAATGGGCCAAGCCTATCAACAGACACGAAATAATAACCATTAAATCAATGTTGCACTAATTTTTTTTTGTCTGTGAAGCTAATTCTCTGTTCTGTCATTAAATCTGGCCAATATATTTATGTATGTATAAACATATACAATGTATGGTAAATACAATGTCTAAATACATGCTTATATATACATATATATATATCTGACGAACGTCGAGTTAATCGTATCATTTGTTTTTTCAACTGCAACCGAATCGCCAACAATGTCTGCGGAAATTCAATGAGGAGGCGCCACCACTGAATTGCGGTTTATGGCCCGCGGCAACAGCGCAATTGGCCAGGTCTCAATGAAAGCTCGCCGCTGCTACCTCAGATTCTCCTTCTGTCAGCAACCTTTCAGACAGTGGCATTTGTATGCCAATTTAATTACACATCAACAAATAGTGCAATGGGCTTAGTAGTATCTAGATATTTCCAAATCTATTTTCTTGTTTTCCCTCCCTCTAGGGGAAACTCTACACTCATTATATTTTTTGATTTGTTATCCTCTCCACGTGACAATCTTAGGCTGAGCTTTGTCATTAATAATTATCTCAAGGTGGTTTAGTTTTATATCCTAAAGCTAATTTCTAGAAGACTCTTTCCTGAAATATTATTTATCTGAGCTCATCGCATGATAACCCGCATAAACCCTTAAAAGAACATCCTTGATTCTTCAGCACAAAAGCTATATTCTATATGCTGTGAAAGTCATTTTGATGTGGACTTATGACCATTTGCATGAGTGACGCGTATGTTGGCCGAATAGCTTTATCCGC